CCCCCCCCACCCATGCCCCTTGGAAATTACAGGGCAGATGACCATTTTTACTGCTTTCATTAACATCATGTTTTCGATCTCTAATTCAAGCTACACTGCAGCAGCCAATTGTTATGCCCAGACACAGGTGTCTTTTGAAGAAATTGCACTAAAGTTCATTAAAGTAGAAGAAAAGAAGGCATTAAGAATGTTTCTCATGAAGAAACTTGAAAGTCTTGAACAAAAGGTTAGTCTAATATAGTCTCAGGGCTTGAAATAGAATTTTTTCAGCCTGCCATAGTAAAGGAGCATGGTAAAATGAGGTCATTCCAGTAAATTTTGCATGTCATTTTATTATTCATTTGGCAGTGCATCTTTATTTTTGCCTGCCAAACCTGAAATTTGGCCTTTCATTTGGCCATTGGCAGGCCGCTATTTCGAGTCCTGTGTCTACTAACTGGGATGTACAGTACAGGAGACTAACCTGACAGGGTGGATCCATAATTTATAACAGCCAAAGCTAGGTGTCATATGATAATAAATGATATTCAATAAATAATAATAATAATATTTAATCACTTATACTACATGATATCCATAGGAATGATCTATCGAGCATTACATATTTATAATAAGATGCTAGATATAAACTAAGTCATATTATTTAGAGCGGATGCAATTAAACCGTGAAATAAAATCAAACTAAATACTATCTAAAAACTAATATTATCTATTAAGTGACTAATAGTTGCTATCACTCAACCAGAACATTTATTAAATGAAAGACACAAATGGTCTCTTGTGTATTTGTCTTCGTATGATGAATGTTCTGGTTGAGTAATAGTGACTATTAGTCACTAAATAGATACTATTTATCAGTATTTAGTTTGATTGTATTTCACGGTTTAATTGCATCCGCTCAAATACAAATCAAAACATATTAAAAACTAATTTAAAATTTATATAATAAATGGTGAAGTCTCAGTACAAAAATCTTATAGAAGACTTGCATTTTTTATGTCAATTTGAATTTGAATTAAGTTGCCCTTCTTATCCATATTTCCAGGACAAGACCCAGATGACGATGATAGTAATGTGGTTAATAGAGCTATATCTCAACCGCCTTAACCAGCTGAAGGACTCATCTAGCAGTAACCCCTCTGAACATGACAAACTCCAGGAAGAGTTCCGGAAATTCCTGGCCACTACTGTGGTTAAGGTGTGATCCGTGCTTCTAATTATAGGTTTCATCTGTGAGTTTCTGGGCAATGGTTGAGGTCAAAATGACCGGCAAGGCAAAGATTTGACTTAACAAGTACCAATTCTGACTGGACATAGTCTAATTGCATTGAACAGCCATTATTCTTAGCCCTACCAATACATGTCTAACATTTAGTATCACTATTGTATGGTTAGATCGTGAACCCCACTCCTTGTTGCCATATATTGTAAACCCTACCGATTTGGCCATTCATCTTGTCTGGCCATTGAGCAGCCATTATTCTTAGCCCTACCAATACATGTCTAACATTTAGTATCGCTATTGTGTGGTTAGATCGTGAGCCACACTCCTCGTTGCCATATATTGTAAGCCCTACCAATACACGTCTAACATTTAGTATTGCTATGTATGGTTAGATCGTGAGCCCCATTCCTCGTTGCCATAAATTTTAAACCCCACCGATTTGACCAATCATGTCTGGCCATTGAGCAGCTGTTATTTTTAGACTAAATTTGATATTCTGTTAGAAAACTCATTAATAATTCATGAAGGAAACACAATAGATATCATGACCATGAAGGAGGTTTTATATCTGATATAGATTTGTCTTCATTTGCATAAACTTTAACTTGGATTTTCTCTATCAAACTTGGTTTATTTCATAAAGAATTCTTAACAATATGAGAACATACATCATGAGTTTTCTGAGCCGTTTATTAAACTTGCAGATCGTGTATTATGGGGTCTAAAACCACTCGGCTGCACCTCCCTGCTTGTTTATTAAAGTAACATTACCACTTAAACTCTTCTTCTTACTCAATAATATGCGTTTGTTGTTGTTTTAGTCATGCTTGGATCAAAACATGAAAACAGCATATGAACTGATTGCAAGCCATGGAGATGTCGAAAACCTGGTTTTCTTTGCCATGCTGATGCAAGGTACTTTGAGGACTTGCATGTACGAAAACAGGAAGGCAGAAATCTATGTTCCTGTTTATTCATTTTTCCCTTTTTCCTTTTTCTAATTCCTTTCCTTTCCTATCTTCATCAACTCTTTCCTTCCCTGTTCCTTCAACTCTAGGTTCCCATTCTCAGTTTCAACTCGCCATTTCTTTTCTTCCTTACTTACTTACTTACTTTCTTCCTTCCTTCCTTTCAACCATTTATCGATTCCCTATTTTACTCATCCCGTCTATCCTTTTCACATATCCCAACCATCCTTCCTTCCTTCCATGCATGCATTCCCAAACATCCCCAATTCACACACTTCATCCTTCTATTCATCCCATCCATCCCACTATTTTCTTCCATTTTAGATTATGACCATGTAATCAGCCATCACATCCAGCATGATGATTACCCTGCGGCACTCAACGTTCTTACCAGGCAGACTGACACAGAACTGTACTACAAGTTCTCTCCTGTTCTCATGCAGCACATTCCAAAACAAACAGTGAGCGCCTGGATTGAGAAGAAAGGAGCACTGAATCCCAAAAGGCTGATTCCTTCTCTGGTACATTATCATCAACAAGGGACGTCTGTACAGGTAATGCAACAATGTTATTTGTCACAGACTAATATCGTCATTATCAACAACATAACTATCAACATCACCGACAGCATTATCATCATTACTGCATTACCATCACCACATCATCACCATCAACAGGCCATCTTCAACCATCATCATCATCATCATTACCCTGTTCATCATGACCATGACTATCGTCATCATTGCCATCATCATTACCCATCATCATCATCATCAACATAACTATCAACATCACCGACAACATTATCATCTTCATCACTGCATTACCATCACCATCAACAGGCTATATCTTCAACCATCATCATCACCATCATCATTACACTGCTCATCATTGCCATGACTATCAACATCAGCTGCATTACCATTACCACATCATCACCATCAACACCAACACCATGTCTTTTGTCCTTATCATCCTCATTATAATCATCATAATTACCACCACTACCATCATCATCATCATTGAGCACATTTAACATTTCATTGTTTAATTGCATTTAATAATTGTTCTATTTTTGTACTGCAGTTGGAAGAAGCTGTTCGTTACCTAGAATTCTGTATTGAAAGACTTGGCAATCAAGATCAGGCCATCCATAACTATCTCCTGTCACTTTATGTGGAGCTCAAGGATGATGATTCGTTGCTGCGCTACCTTCAAATGCAAGGAACTGTAAGTTCATTAAGGGAGCCAAGGGTTTGTTAGGTCTCGTTAGTTTTTTCCTTCAGTTTCTCTGGTTTTTCCCTATTCTCAAAAAAGTAACAAGCTGAATTTGAACTGTAAGTAAGCTGTGCCCTGACTTTAATCAGTCAAGAAGTTGTTCCAGAGTTTGATCTGTGAGTTAGCTGTGCCCTGGTTTTGATCAGCCCAGAGTCTGTTTCAGGGTTTGATCTGCAAGTTAGCCCTGCCCTGACTTACTGCAAATCAATCCAGAGTTTTTATTTGACTGGTTCTCTCCTCTAGCATCCAGACAAGGTGTTGTATGATCTTGAGTATGCCCTGAGGCTTTGCTCTGAACACAGCAAACACAAAGCTTGTGTGCATATCTATAGTACCATGGGGTTATATGAAGAAGCTGTAGACTTGGCACTCAAGGTGAGTTAAGGGGGTATGGCCACAGGTTAGTCTGACAGTATGTATAGTCCATACCGTGAATGTTACTTTCTTCTATTTTGGCATCAGTCAATCACATTTACTTCCCCTGCCCCCTCCCCCCAGGTGGGAAATGTCTTTGTAAATTAAGTCTTTAATGGACAAACTAGACAATCACAGCAAAAATGTTCATCAAAATGAATGACCTATGGAGGTTTAATTTTGGATCTTTTGACTGAAAATATCATGATTGTACACTCTTTACTAAGGGAAGGAGAATGTTTTCAAGCGGATCTGATAATGTCATGATCAGGGATCCCCACTTTTTAGATACTAGATAGATTAACAGGGCAACCCATTCAGCAATTGGTATTGGGTCTTGCATGAAACTGCTCTATGGCATGTGGAATAATTTAGAGCACTTTTGTTCAAGGTTGACGTTGAACTAGCTAAACTCCATGCCGAGAAGCCTGCAGAAGAGGATGAAGTCCTGAGAAAGAAACTGTGGCTGAGAATTGCAAGACATGTTGTTGAAGAAGATAGAGATGTAAAAAAGTAAGTAGAAACGTTTTATAGTAGAATCCTTCTTTATTTACAATAAATTACAAGTTCAGCCTTTTTGATTGAAACCATATAGTAGGACAGAATTGCCCATGATTTTGAATAGAAAAGAGGCTTAACAATTCAAAGGTTTTTTTGCTAGAAACCCCATGATCAGAAAGGATTTTTCTCATTATTGGATGAAAAAATCTTTCTAGACATTGGAGGAAATTAAGAATGTTCTGTTTTTACTATTATTCTTTTGAGAATTTGAAATTTTTTGTTTGAGTTTGTATCCATATTCATGTGTCTTCTCATGTGCAACTGTTAAATAAGGAAACAATGTTCTAGGGAATGAAGCATGGTTTGAAATGGGAAACATTACATCCATGAACTTCAAGGTAAATTGCAAATTTATTGAGAAAAACTTTTCTTGTACTCCAGGGCAATGGAGTTTGTAAATCAGTGTACATTACTGAAGATAGAAGATATCCTTCCATTTTTTCAAGACTTTGTGACAATAGACCATTTTAAGGTAGGTGAAAATGCCCTGTCTTGAGTTCCATGAATTATTTTATAATTAATATTTATGTTATGTTCAAAGGATGCCATTTGTTCTTCACTACAAGAGTATAATCAACACATTCAAAACTTGAAAAATGATATGCAGGTAAACTTAGATAATAATGTTGGTGATAATGATGATGGTGATGATGGTGGTGATGATGGGGAGTAGTGATGATGATGATGATGTCAGTGATGATGTGATAGTGATAATGATAATGGTGATTCCAATTGATGGGGTCAGTGATGATGGTGGTGATGATGGTGATGGTGATGGTGATGGTGATGGTGATGGTGATGGTGATGGTGATGGTGATGGTGATGATGGTGATGATGGTGATGGTGATGGCGATGATGGTGATGGTGGTGGTGATGATGATGATGGTGGTGATAATGATTATGATGGTGATGATGATGGCGTTGGTGATGGCGATGATGATGGGGTCAATGATGATGGTGGTGATGATTATGATTATGATGATGGTGATAATGAAAGATGGTGATGATGGTAGTGATAATGATGACAAGGGTATTGTTGACGATGATGATGGTTATGATTATTGATGATTATTAAATATAATTATGATTATCACAAGTATTTATAATATTACTTAATGTTTGTTAAAATGATAACTTTCAAAATTTATTATTATTCTTAAAATAAATTCCTTATCTTAGGAAGCAACCGAGAGTGCCAAACTTATCAGAACAGACATCCAAGATGTTAGAAACAGGTTAGTATGTTGCTGCCTATTGAATAATTATACTCACAAAAAGAAAACCTAGAAAACTAGAAAACTTTTCATTAGTAAATGATGTTGTATGATTCTTCTTTCTCCAGATGTGGTATTGTTCCAGCCAATGAGAAGTGCTCTATTTGTTTGTATCCCCTCTTGACCCGGAGCTTCTACTTATTTCAATGTCAGCATGCCTTCCATACAGACTGTTTGGTAAATGAGGTCAGTTATATTTAACATATTCATTTATTCATTTATTTGTTCGTTCATTCATTCCTTCCTTCCTTCCTTCTTTCCTGCATATTTATTTGTTCGTTCTTTCTTTCTTTCTTTCGTTTATTCGTTCGTTTATTTATTTACAATGATATTTCCATATTTACATATTGGCTCCATGGAACCCCCGAAATCTGCCCCCAAAAAATATCATTTTTCAAATCGCACAGACTTATAATGGTATCCATTAATAGCTGAATCATAGAAGAGGCAATACCTGTATAAATGAGAACAAGGTTTTGGTCAAATAAAAAACTGCAGAAGTATTAAACAAAGTTTTCTCATTTTTTAAAATCTCTGTTTTAGTTATCACTTCTTCTCAAGGAAAAACAACGGTAAGTGTAAAAAACCCATTTCCTTTGAAATTCCTTGTTTCCTTTTAAGATGGTGCCGGAAACTGTAGAAGGGGCTTTATCTAAGGGAAGCATGGGTGGCGTAGCGGTGAGAGCACTCACCTGTCACCAATGCGACCCAGGTTCGAGTCCTGCTGAGCTCGGTGTTGTATGTGAGTAGAGTTGTTTGTTGGTTCTCTCCTGTGCTTCGAGGGTTTTCCGGGTTCCCAGGCTTTCCTCCCTCTGCAAATTCCAACTGGAATTACAGTGGATGAAGAGCTACTCTGTAGAAATGCCACTGCTAAATCCCATTTATTTATTTTATATTTCATTTATTTATTATGTTGTTAAAATGTAATACTGATAAAATATATTGATTGTGTGATTATCTTTGGTCCCTTTAGAGCCAAAGCTTTATCATTGTACAGTCTCATCTACTCATCTGACCCTGCATATGGGGAAACACCACCAGGCAATTCAGATCAGTCACGAGAAGCTTTAAAGGTATGATTAGGTGAAATCTTTAGACAATAAAAAAATTCTTAATACCCCCCCTTGAAGTTCCCCAAAAAATATACCCCTGGGCAATCTCTCATAGCTTCTTCTAAAAATTTTACATCCCCCCAATTCTCTAAAAAAAATTTCAAGCCCTCCCATTTTACTGGTAAAAATTTTTCCGATCCCCCCTAAATTTCACCTGCCCCCCCCCTTCTGCCATACATTATGAACGCAGCCTAAGACTCCCCTATTTAGAGAGTACATGTACGAGTAATAAGGTCAAGCAAAAAGGAAGTGAAAGGTCACATCAGCTCTGTTGACCAGTGGTTGCTTTCTTTAATAGGCTGAGCTTGATGATCTCATTGCAACAGAATGTGTCTTCTGTGGTGACCTGATGATCAAGTGAGTACTTTCCATTTCCCATCCATTCTAATCCCTTTTTTCTTTTCTCAATTTTCTTTCTTTCAGTCTCTTTCTTCCTTTCTTTTTGTTCATTTAATTGCTTTTATTTTGAACTTTTTTTCAATATTCCTTTCCTATACATCCTTTTTCATTATTTCATACAACAAACAGGCTGCATTAGACTAAATTAATAGAGTGCTCACACTAAACCCATGAAACGAATACTAATTTTTAGCACTAAATAGTGATAACTAAACAATAGAAAACAAAAGATTCTGTATGAAATAATACTAATTAGTACAGGTTTAGTGCATGCACCCTATGAAGTTACATATAGCTGTTTCAAAAAAGGTTGGCGAAGGTCTTGTTGCAGTCTGTCTTTGCTTAACAAGTCTAAACCACCTTGTATCTGAGAAGTTCATGTCCTAGAGTACTGATCATGACTGCGGTTCATTCATCCTTTCAGGACTATTGACCAACCGTTCATAACGAATGAAGAATACGAACAGGTGCAAGCAAGTTGGGCATGAGAAAGGACTAAACTACAACAAAATTTCAGAATCAAATACAAACAGTAGAAATGTCAGGTGTTGGAGATCTTATTATGTCTTGTCAAGCTATTTTTTCTTTTCAAAAAAATTTCGCGGTTTAAAACCTGCCTGGAGCTAAGATTTTTTCTGTGGAAAATTAGCTTGACAAAGCATGATCAATATCTCTAGCATAGATACCATACAAAAAATCCAGTTTTGATACCCGTCGGAAGCTCAGATATTTTTCTGAGGAAAACAAGCTTGATATCATAGATGGATTTCCTTTCTCATAATGATCGAGCCAATGAAGGTTTGCAGTACGGAAAGTTTTTCACAAGGAACAAATATTGTTACTATTTCTACATAGGACCATATAGGGGAATTACGATTTAGGTAATAATTATGAGATAAGAGTAAATGGTTTGAACCCAGGTGTTGAAATTTGTTGTGAAGTGTGATCATCCAGGTGAGTGTAGTCTTGAGAAAGACTGTTGTTGGTGGTGACTGATGTTTTGACAACCTGAGCGGAAATCCTCTTCAGAGTCCAGTGAGAAAACCAGAGATATAAGATAATGGTTATACAATAATGTACGTTCTCATGAAAACAGTTAGAAAACAAACATGAAAAAAAGATTTAAAATGAGGGTTTCACATTTTAACTAGGCAATAAATATTCATGCAGTCACAATGTAATTGTGAAAATAAATAAATAAACTTTCTTTTACATATTTGATTTTCATGACAATGTAGTCAACAATATATAATTTAATTTTAAAAGAGAGAGAGATAGGTTTGTAAAGAAATAATTATGAGATAAAGTCTGAGTAATAAAAAAAAATTTTTAAACTTTTGTCATTATTTTATTCAGTAGAATAAACCTTTTAATGTATTTACCATATACTTGCACTTGAAATATTTTTATCTTTATCTTAAATAATCTTATAATAGAGCTACTTTCAAGTTCAAAATTATCGCTCAGGCAAATACTTAATTTTTGATTTACATAACATTTTAAAGTCTCTTCATTACAGTCCAATCCTGCTTTCCTCATTGTCCAAGTGATTTAATTTTAAAGTGTCATCATTCCTGGTCAACACCATAAGTTTAATCCCTGCAACAGCAGCAATTACCAGCAGAATTGAACACATTGCAAAAATTGCTGTTATCCCATGACTACTGTGAGTGTCATGCAAAGCAAGCAAGACAATTGCAGCAATAGTGTTTAGGGGCACCCTAAACCAGTTTATGATTCCTGAATGGTGAGCTTCTGGGAGAATCTTCTGCCTCAGCCATCCCATAGCTGGAAAGTAGACCCCACATGAAAGTTCGAGGAGAATATACATCAGGAATGATGTTCTGGGATGATTGGCACTTGCAACGGCAGCACCAACATTTGCTAACGATGCCATTGTTACAGACAAAATCACCATCTTTATTGGCGCTATCCTCTGTCTTACTGTGAAATTAAAGAAGTAGCCTCCGATCAAGACACAGAGCATGAATGACGAAAATATAATTCCCAGTGGTGGGTTCAGGTGTCGCCGATCCAATACTGGAGTCCACAAAAACACAAAAATGTACATTGAGCTCTCAAATAGAGAGTTGACGGTTCCAATTAGTAATACACGATTGTTCTGGACAATGTGACGCAAACATTCCATGCACGGTTGGAAAACTTTTGCTGACCGTCCACCATAGTTCTCATCCCAAGTGAATTGGATCAGCACCCCTGCGCCAATGAGGAAAGGTATTGCAATGATAAATGGAGCTACGGGTCCAAAATTAAGCCAATCGGCAACGACATTAGCCAGGACTCCTGCTCCTACAGATATCAAACTGTTGAAGATTGTAGCCTTGGAGAATGTTGCCGACACCCATTCAGGAGGAAAGTCATGACTTTGAGAATGTTCGTAGACATACCATGCATCGAATGCTGTGAATAACAGTGACGTAGAGACCCCACCAAGTATTCTTCCAGCAATAAGTACGCTGTAGTCTCTTGAAATTTTAGTGAGACAGCTTATTGAGTAAAGAATAGTGAAAAGAATACATGCTTTTTTTCTGCCTAATGCATTTGCAAGGTAGCCACTTGAGGTTCCAAATACCATACTTGAAGCAAACCCGCAAACATAGATGATGGCAATCTGTGTGTCAATGAAGCCATAATGGCTGTAGAGTTTATATAAATATGGGTTTTGGAGCCATTCGGCCATTAATGCAAGGAAATAAACACGGAAGTATGTGGCCTGGAAGGCATTAAAGTTTGGGTTGGCAATTGCAGCCTCTTCTGATTGGGCAGTTTTGCATTTGAGATGAATAAATGCACCAGCACCAAGGAGTGCAACAAATGTGATATACGCAATGATTAACATGATCTATTCCAAGTAGAAATCGTCTTGATTTGTGTTCAGTGCGTTATATTCGTTATGCCATGCTTGTGCGGCAGTCAGCCTGGAGATAGAAAAGAAATAAGTTAACAACAAATTTAAAACTGTGCAGAACCTTTTTCTAATAAAAATATTTCTTACAATAGAGTGAAGGCATTTAACCCGTGAAATAAAAATTATTAGTTAACATGTAATAGTCAAATAGACACAAAAGAAAACAATGGAATTAGGGTCTACTAATGTGTGTTAGTCTAATATCTATTTCACGGGTTTAATGGCTTCACTCTAATAATTCTTTCATCTATCATTGCATCCAATTTGTTTGCCCCCCAGTCATCTCCAAAGAGTGATGTGAAAAGTCTACTAATGTGTGTTAGTCTAATATCTATTTCACGGGTTTAATGACTTCACTCTAAGATTTAAAAGTATTTAGGTTTTAGTGCACACAACAAGCTATCCATGAAAAGAAATAATAAAATAGTATTAAATACTACTCAAACAATAGAAAACAAAGGATTTGTAGCTTTGAAACATAGCAATTTTAAATAATAAACGTACTTTTCAGAAGGCAAGACAAAATTTTCCTTAAAATGAGAAACACTGAACTTCCTGCAAAGATATTCTAAGTGTTGTTATGACAAAATTCAACTCTGCTCTCATTTGTCCTTTTGTTGTAACAAAAGAACCGTTATGCTTTGTTACCTTACTGTAATTTGAGAGGGAAGACCAAATCCAAAACTTGCTTTTAAGTTTGCAAGTCTTATGATCGAGCTTTACTGTAAAGATGAATAAATCTTCGTGTTGAAGTCTAATTTAGCTTTATCACTTCCAAAATATAGCAAATTTAGTTGCTAAAGATGCTTTGATTTGTCGGAAACGCCATTCTCTAGCAGTTTAACAACACAATACCCGCAATTGTTGGTTCTGAGGTAGAAAATTTATTGGCCACGTGTAATAATCTGACTCGATATAGAAAGCTGCCTTCAAAACAAAATGGCGTCTATATTTTATATTGACTTGTTACTATTATTAAGGCTATTTCGGTCAAACTATTATTAATACAGAGGCGTATTTTGATTAAGTACAGACGTAGGAGGGTATATTTGATGGATTTGATTACCTTATCTTTATTTTCAAGGCGGTTTTGAATAGAATTTCCCGAGACTTGACCAGACGTGTACTATCCTTCAGGAAACATCCTATTGCTAGCAATTTTGCACCCGACGGGAGTGGGGAATGGATACTCATAAAATCTATTTGTACAATTTGTACACAATTCTGTAATATTTGTTTAATATTAACCAAATGAACTCCAAATATTTATTCCTTAATTACTTAGTGACTTTTGTTTGTTTTTATCTTGATGAAAGGATATTTTGAAGTACAAGACTGTTCGCATACTATCCCCTCCCAGTGAAAGAAAACATTTCGTTCTGCAATCCCAAAGTTCTTTTCCGGTATAACGTTAATTAGGGGTTCAATTTCACTTCCGGTTGCTTCGTAGCAAAACAAACATACGCCACAGGTTTCGCCACATAAATTATTTGTAGTGTTTCGACAACAAACTCGCGGAAATCAAGAAAATAAACTACAAACAAAACCGATCTCCACGAGTGCCCTCGTACAAGATGGCTGTCTTCCTAGACGAAATTTTGGTTCACATTTTTGAATATTTCGACGCTTACACATTGACAAGAATCGCTTTGGTTTGCAAGCAGTGGTCAAACTTTTCTAGAACTCCTCGACTATGGAGAAGTTTAGTTCTGCAAAAATGGCCTTCGCAAAGATTTCTGTACAAGAATGTCCCAGTTACTTGTGAAAATTGGTACAAAGTTTATCAAGATTTGTACTTGAGGGGAAAATACTCTCCTGACGACATGAAATATTTTATTTCTTGTCGAGTTGGTGAAGACGAACTTGACGTTGAAGAACTCAGAGAAGCCATGTTGCTACACACGGCTAAAGTCGTCATGAAGTGGACTTTAGCCGAGCCGTTTGAAGCAGAAGAAAATGGAAGTTTCCCTCCTTTCGATAGCAATTTCGATTTTTATTACGATACTCACGACTTCAAGTGGAAGTTCATTGATAAGAGACAAGAATATATAGAGGACTTAATGGGGTACAAATTGTCGACGAAGATGTCGCGAAAATCCAGGTATATTAGACCGTATCAGGTGATTCCCAGTTGTCTCATGTTGTACCGATGGCTGTCGTTGTTTCGTTCTATCGCTACTATAGAAGAAGGGCTGACGTTTTATAGAATTTGGCGCCATCACATCAAACACAGGGAAACGGGGATGCTTTTTGAGATGTGTGATTGGAAAGCCGCTATGTCTTGTACTTTCCTGAAGGGCAAACCTGCTTCTGGTCCTTACGCGAATGACTGCTTAGAACTCATGGATTTATTATCCCATCCACACTTCATAATGCATCCCCTGGGAATGCCTAGTGCTATTGTCAAGAAATCGTCACTTTTGTCCCCACCATCTGGAATGAGTCGTCAAACGTCTGTTTCCTCACTTATTTCAAATGTACCGAGGTCACTGGGTGGGTCCATGGATAGGCTGTCAGAGGGTAGAGTCAGCTGGATGCGAGGGACAAGTGGAACGGAAAGTGATGATGAATCAGAGCTTGTCTATGACGACAGTGGATATTATGCAAACTGTGAATACTTCATAAGTATCAGTCATTGGGACATCGAGGAACAGCATACCATTCAGTCAAGTGTAGCAGAGCTGTGGTCTGTCACTCAAACAACCATGGAGCCACAACTATATCTTTCATTTGATGCTCTAGAGGAAAACTGGTACTTCTATACTTACAATTCATTCAGCAACTCCAATAGTCTGTCACCCATAGACAAGAATGGACACAGTGATGATCATGACCTGCGACCCATCTCAGAGAGCCTGTCTAAGCACATTTTGGATCGGTTCCATGGTTTTGCAATAGAGCCAATTCCTAGCTGCCTTGCACTGTATAGACTTATTTGTTTGTTTGATTTGAATGCAAATAATTATGTAAGCACAAAGGAAGGTACAATTTGGTCTGTCACTGTGGTCCACAATCAAACTGGAGCTCGGCTGAACCTCAAAGACACAAATGGTAATTTATCTTATTTCAGCGATATCTCTATAGGGTGGGGACCTCGTTTTCATAATTCCCATATTTAATTTTACTGTAAAACAAACCTCTATTTGTCAGTGGACACCATTTATTGAGGCAAGTTCCTGAAGGCAAACGTCTGCCACTGGATGTATTTATTTTTTATGCAATTACCAGTGCCAATTGAACCCCATGCACCCTACCCCTGAGGATATCATCCCAATTTTTGAATTGATCAATATTATATATTTCTTTTTTTTGTGTGTTTTTTATTTATTTATTTATTATTGTTATTCATAGGTTGGTTTGAAGCTTCAGTGTGCCTCACAGATGAACTTATGGATCAACTCAATACTTCACAAACTCACTCTAACAATGAAATGATCAGTTATAACACACCACCAAATGACGTATTGGTAGCAGATTTACAGCCACCATTACAGTGGAATGATGAATATGATGGAGATGATGATGATGATGGTTATGATGACACAGATGAAGATGATGATGATGATGATGACAAGTATGATGACATTGACCAACACAGCTATATTTCCAGACGCAGTCAAGAAAGTCAGAATATTGAAGAACTTGTGCCACAAGATGCCGAAGCAGAAAGGATTGGCAATGTCATTAATATAATCAATGAGAACTACAATAGTGATGATTCTGCTAATCAGGGGGGTGCAGACTATCTGCTAGAACCGGTTGGTGTCGCTGCTGAGCCAAATAATGCTGAGCAAACCAACCTTGAATTATTCAAATATGATGTTGTGTGCTTGTTGAATCTACTTATCAATGAGAAATTTGGGCATCCATATGGAGCCATTGCTGGTGCTGTTGCATAGCTTAAAATAAGCTTGGGAAATTTTGCATTAAATATATAGTTGTGAAAGGTCTGTGGCCTAAAAATTGCTTTTCATAAAAGCTGTACGTTTTAAATTTGGAGATGATGCTACTTTGGTACTAAAGCTCTTTTCAAGCAATATATACATAGAAATAGATGGAACTATTAATAGTTTGTAATCATTCCCAAGGGAATCCTGAGAAAAAAAACTAGACAATTGGCGGCCATGTTGGTGGTAATGGGAAAGTCGGCCAATGTATGATAAATACCGCTATCATGGCTGCAATGATATAACCTAAAAACGAAAAATAAATGGAATTTTGTGGGTCAACATGATAATTTAATTCTTTTAATTCATTAATCATTTCTTTATTATTTTATTAGCACTATTTCGACATGTTGATGGTTTTCACGGTGGCCATGTTGAAGGTACTTAACAAAAGAATTGTCAATGAACTGTTTTGTTATATCCTCCAACATGGCTGCCGTGTCTTGTTATTTAATTCTCTTGGGAATGGTTGAAAACCATCAATAGGCAGTGCAATTCATCATAGCCTGGTTCAGCTTAGCCTGTAAAATGGAGGCATATTAAATTGATCTTTATTGAAATTAATTATAAAATTATTTTAAAATAAAACATTCTCGTATCCAGAGCTCTTCGGTTTCGTTCCTACCTGTAGGAGGAGCGCTGCCAGCGTACGAGAATATTCGTGAAAAACTTTGTAAGAAATTGCACAAACTTGCACACGGTCAGTAAGCCCTCGGTCGACGTAGACCTACAAAACTTTGCACGCATATTTGTACAATTTTCAAATATATTCACGGATATATGGTATACATTCATTGTTAAACTAAGTTAAATGTCTCAGTAAAGTTGCGGACACACGGTGCAACATTGCACGCAAAATTGCAAGCAAAAAGGCGTTGCATCGGTGTCTATACCTGGACTTATTGCACGCAACATTACATGCAACAAATCGGCTGAAGTTGAATCGCGCTCTACTCTTGCAACATTGTGCGCAACAAATTTTATCGTGTGTGTCGCCTTTATAGTGGAATCAAATTATTTCCTGATTCGATAAGGGAATTACCAAAATCATTTAATTGCCGTCACAGTTTTTCGCAAAGTGGAGACCGTTTGAAAACAGTCCTATCGCACAGCAAAACTAAAACTATAGGCTCTTGACAACGCTGACACCATTCTCACATTGTTTTTCGTATGCACAGATGACGACACTGCATCATATCCAATCGTCTTTGCGTTTTTGATCGTTTTAAGGAAAAAAGAAATTATTTAAATCAGTTTAATCTCTATTAGCTAACACATGCTTATACCCATAATGCAAAGAGCCGTCAGACCACAGGGAGCCCAGTGTAAAAAGAATATTAGAAGTTTATGTTTGGGCTCCCTGTGCTAAAAGTACCCAGCAGTCGTTGCGGGATTTTTTCCCTTCAACATGGCGCCGGCAGCAGCAGAAGCAAAGAAAGAAAAGGAGACAAAAAAAGAAGAAAACAAGACTAAAGATGAGCCGAAAAAAGAAGAAGAGCTAGAATTAGTAAGATGAACGTCTTGTCTTAACACGAGTGTTTTCGTATTTTAGTCTTTTTGCGTTTTTTGACGCAAAAAGTACGGTTTTCTCATCAACATGCCGGTCGTGACTCATCAAAAATTTTCAGTGAAAGCGTTTTCTTTGATCGTAATTTTTTTCTTTTTAACTTCATAGAGCGAAGAAGATCGCCAGCTTCAAGAAGAGCTGAACATGTTGGTCGAGAGACTTTCGGTAAGTTTGTAGTTTACTTTGGTGACATAATATGAAGTGCGAAAGACTAAGTTTTGCTTGCTTGACAGACTACACATAACTTATTGAAATTTTCCTCTCACTTTTTGACAAAGTACGATTTAATTGAATAGTAAATTTAAGCTTTTTTATTCAACTTGTAAACCTTGTCCCTAATTTTAATGATAACGGTTTAAAAGTCGTAAGAAAGTTTTTCTCTTAATTGTTTGATTTGATTGAGGGAGTCCACTCTAGTTAAGGGAGAAAGATGGGATATAAGCTTAATTCTTCGTTAGCACAATTTAAATTAAAACACATTCCCATAAAAGGTTTTAAAAACTTGCTACAGGCTTGTGTTTGGTGAACAACATACCTTAAATAGGACTGAGGTTTGGCAGTTTAATTTTTATGACAGCCGCTGACCTTGGACTTTACAAATCCAGTGCTCTGATTGCCTGAACTACCAGACACACCTGGCAATGTTATATGTATCTTAATACTGAATTGTTTGGTACCCAACCCTTGAAATTCCTAGATTTTAAATTGAATCGTTACATTTTAGGAATCCAACGTTGGCCTTCACAAACCGGCACTAGAAGCGCTAAGGACACAGATACGAGCAAGTACGAGCTCAATGACGTCTGTACCAAAACCACTAAAGTTCCTTAGGAAGCATTATACTGGGCTGAAAGAGATTTATGCAAAATGGCAAGATGGTGAAAATAGAGTAAGCAAAAATAAGAATTCCTGCACAAAGTTGATTTACAAATATATCCATTTACCAGATGGGATTCTCCTCTGTTGGGGATGTTTCTGTAGCGTTTTCACGTTTAGCTTTATTTATAAGTTAGCTATTCATATTCATAGATATCATTACAACCATTCTCAATCGCATGCACCATCTATGGAAACGCCTTGATTGATGTCCACCAAAAGCTTCTTCATCACGACAGAAACAATTGCTAGAGCGGCTCGTGTGATTTAGAATGGCTGTAATAGTCTTCACTGAGATTTGTGAATTTGTGAGATACTCCACAATCAAAATATAATGTTACTTGTATCATTTTAGCATTTTTTAGCTGACATCATATCAGTTCTGGCAATGGTGAGTGAAAGCCGAGAGTGTCTTAAATTCAGAATGCTTGGTTCAAAAGAACCCCTTGAATCTTGGGGACATGAATATGTCAGGTAAGATATTATGCCATTAAGCTATAATTTGAAAATACTGCTGCCTTCTGTAGGTGGCAGAGAGTTCAGAGGAGCTGGGATGACCTTGCCCCCCCCCCCCTCTCCCCATCCCAATTTTGACTAATACCTATATATGCCAACCAGAAATCCAACAAAGTAATGTCACAAAACTTATGTTTAAGATAGTTCTCAGTGGCAAGTTTTATTGATATGAAGTCCATCCATTGGAACTTACTTAATCTTTTTAGGCACTTATCAGAAGAAATTAGAGCTGAGTACACAGAAAAAATGCTAAAAGAAATAGCTGTGGAACAACTGGTGGCCTTAGCTATGGAGATTATACTGTATGACATGCAGCACAATGCCGAGACTGATGCCTGTGATTTACTGATGGAGATTGAACAACTGGATAAGCTGGAAAAGCATACAGATGAGAATAACTTCCAGAGAGTCTGTCTCTATCTAACCAGGTAACCTACTTAAAAACTTTATACAGTACCATCAATTATCCTCCCTCTTCCATAAGGTGATTAATGTTAACTTGTGCATCAATGTATACATGTACACCTTGCAGTTTGCTGTAGCACAGGGCTTAACATAATGGCCGGACAGTCAGCAAATATGATAGGCCAAATTACAGTAGTTTTAGCTCGGTCATACTGCACCTCGTTTATGGCTCAATATTACTGGTCAATATGACTGGCAAAGATTTGGCCGGACAAGTTCCAATTCTGGGCCCAGACATTGTCCGATGTCTGGCGTTATGTTAAGTCCTGTATTTACAACCATCATTTTTCCTTTTACCATAAGGTCCACCAGACATTATTTATGTTAATTTGTGCATCTATGTATACATGTACAGTCATGATGACTGGCCAAATTAGTTTTAGCTTGGTCATACCTTGCTTCTAGTTCATCATTACTGGTCAATAAAATATAATTATTAATATTTTAATGATTATTAAAGTAAGCAGCAAAGCAAAGATTTGACCGGACAAGTTCCAATTCTGTCTGAACATTGTCCCATGACTGATTGCCATTTTAAAGCCCTGTAAAATAATTCCGATTGTTTTTATTTTATAACAGTTGTGTTAACTATGTGCCTGAACCAGAGGATTCAACGTTACTCAGGACAGCACTCAGTATATTCAGGAAATTCGACAAACTACCAGAAGCTCTAAACCTGGCCATTCAACTTAATGATATTGAACTCGTTAAGGAGATATTTACATCTTGTGCAGGAGTGTAAGTATGATCAAAATTATATTTTAGTAAGCAAATACTCTCATTTTGAGAACAATACCAGTTGATTAAAATTCCACAGGTTTTGGTTGAATGGCTGAATATTTTAACACATTATATTAATGGGTATTGTATGCAACAGGGATTATTTTACAAAGAACATGCTATTCACGAGTTGACAATCTTTACTTTTTCATGATCATGCATCACAGGAAATATTAAATGAATGTGATCATGATCCTGTTAGATTCAGTTTATAAATAGACAATCTTTGGAGATATTTTACAGCATATCAACTAAATCTCATTTCGTCATCATCAGCAGCAGCATAATCAGCATCATCATGATCATGATCATCACTATCAGATTCAGTAAATGAATAGCCAATCTATGAGATATTTTGCAGTATGTCAACTAAATCTCATTAATACATTTCTAAAGAGAGGAAAAGAAGCTGATTCAGCGTCAGATGGCATTCATGTTGGCCAGACAGCAGGTGTTCCTTGAACTGGATGAAGACATGGATGATTATGAGGATATCATGGAAATCATGTCTAACTCACTGTTGAACAAGAACTTCCTGAGTTTAGCAAGAGAGGTGAGACTCTGATACACATGTTATAATTATGTATGCTATATACTGTACAATGCATCAGTTTCAAATTCTCTGTGTACTCAGGGTTAACCTTGATTTTGTGTAGGATATTCATGTGTTCCAGTGAAGGTCCATTGAATGAATTTCAAAGTGTTCATATTGTTGAAGTTATGCATTTACCATTGGTATTTGAGAATATTTAGACCCTGAAACCTGCTTACCCTGAGTAAATGAGTACAAAGATATAACTGTACTTATTCAAAAATAGTCTACTGGACTAGATGTATGAAGTAAGATTGAATAAGCTCATCTGTATTTTTTTCCATAATTTTATAGTTGGACATTATGGAACCAAAAGTTCCTGAAGACATCTACAAAACTCACCTTGAAAATAAAGGTAAGTTATTAATATCTTGAGTCTTCTATGAGGTACCAGCAGGAAACTAAGTCAAGGTATTTGGTCACCATTCAAGTTAAGGGTTTGAAGGGTGCGGTACAAGCAGGGGAGCAACATTGAAAACTTAGTAACCACAACAAAATTTGTACAGTGTACAGGGCTTAAAATAATGGCCGATAAGCCACCTGTCAAGATGACCAGCCAAATTAGTTTTAGCTCAGTCATACAGTACCTCGTTCCTGGCTCAATGTTACTGGAAGAAATGTCCAGCAAGGAAAAAATTTGACCGGACAGGTTCCAATTTTGGAAGGACATTGTCCAATGTCCGACTGTTATTTTAAGCTCTGGTGTAATCACATTTGGCATCAATAGCTTATTTTATATGCCAGCAATCAAAAGCAAAGAGCTACTGAGTGATCATAATGAATCTACATGTAAGAGGAAGAATCTAAATCTATCTATGTTTTAAAATCACAGTTTTTTAATTTTTAAATTAATAATTTTGTCTCACACAGGAATATCTAGTGGTGTGTCTTTAGACTCTGCTCGACAAAATCTTGCATCTTCATTTGTCAATGCCTTCGTTAATGCTGGCTTTGGTGCGGACAAACTCTTAACAGAGGATGGAAATAAATGGATTTACAAGAACAAGGAACATGGTATTGAGTCTTATATTATATTGCTAATTTTTAAAATAAAGGGACTCAAGGGTGACATAGTGGTAGTCCACTTGTCTCTCACCTCTGAGGTCTCATGTTCAATCCCTGGACTTGGCATCGCATGCAAGTAGAGTTTGTTAGGTCTCTCCCTTGATTTTAAAGAGACTCAAGGGTGGCATAGTGGTAGAACACTCACCTCTCACCTATAGGGTCTCAGGTTTGATTCCTGGACTCAGCATTGCATTCAAGTAGAGTTTGTTAGGTCTCTCCCTTGAGGGTGGCATAGTGGTAGAACACTCACATATCACCCCTGGGTATCAGGTTTGATTCCTGGACTCAGCATCACATGTGAGTAGAGTTTGTTAGGCCTATCCCTTGATTTTAAAGAGACTCAAGGGTGGCATAGTGATAAAACATTCACATATCACTGCTGGGTCTCAGGTTCAATTCCTGGACTTGGCATCACATGTGAGTAAAGGTTGTTAGGTCTCCCTTAGTTTTAAAGAGACTCAAGGATGACATAGCGGTAGAACACTCACCTCTCACCTATAGG